TCATATGTGGCATATGTGGGAAGAGCCGGGGACTTTAGATTTCCATTGCAAAACTACACTTCAGTTGTACATATATATATACACAGCCTTTTGATCCTTTTAAGGGCCTACATCCATTTTTTAAAAGAGAAAACAGACCCAAAACATTATAAAACAAGGAGTCCCTTTCTTTTCCCAGCATTCTCACCTAAACATTTTTACAATGTAGTACCGAAACATAAAATGGGCTAAAAAAACAAGAAACACTGCAGTAAATAGAATATACAGACACACACACACACACACACACACACACACACACACACACACACACACACACACACACACACACACACACACACACACACACACACACACACACACACACACACACACACACCCCAGATGAACAGTAGGCTAGTCGACCGCATCATTTTTCAACAGGACAAAATAGTAAATAAAAAGAGTCCAATTCAACCAGGAATTGGCCTTTAAAACTGCACGAGTGTTTGATGATCGAAACAAATAACATGGACAAAACTTGGGAGTTTTCATCACTCTGGGGGAGAACAGACACACAATAACAGTCGCTTCAAAATCAAATAATCACCAATAAACTCGTCATATAAATACGAATATATTTGCTGAAAAGTGATTGGGACTGATATTCTAATATGAAGCAGCGATCCGTATAGCAGCTCTCTTCCTCGTGTTGGATCCATCGCTGCTGTCGTGTTCAAATCCACTATATACTCCCCTAGAAGCGAATTTGTGATTGTTTCAATGATTTTTACACAAATCCGGATCTACAGGGTAGATATAGAAGACAGCGGCTCTCTGGAGGCGCGCGCTCACTCCGTCGATAGACCCTTATTGCTTTCATAAACCCCCTGTCAAGGCCATGCAGGAATATTTCCATCCATCTGTACTGTTCTGACCCCTGACCCCCTCACTGCTGGGGGGGAGATCTGTGAGATGAAGTTATAATGTTCTGACACTTCCCACAAGGCAGAGTGACGATCAAAAACCAAGAAATTCATTTTTGAAGTGAATTAAAGTCACCTTTTAAATAATGTTATTATATGCAGCTTTAAATGGAAAACGGCTAAATATATATTAAAAATAAATAAATAAAGACATATTTTTCTTATTTATAACTCATTTGGGGTAATACGCATTGGATTATTACCTTTTTTTATACTTAACTTGTAACAATAATGAATGTACGTAAAAATGCACAAAAGATTCAAGGCTCATTTTGTGAAATAGTATTAATTATAGGCTAATAAAATATTATTATGTTGCCTATTGAATCTCTTTTTTTATCAATTGAATTTCGTTTAAAATAAAAGTGTTATTCAAAATAAAAGTACAAAAAAATTCAAAAGCTTTCCATCCAACCACACAATATTTAATTAAAAGTAAAGTTGTAATCATCCAAAAGAGGAATAAAATAAAAGTAAAAAAATATCCTGGCAGAAGGGGCTCTGCGTAATGGAAGCAGAGATAAATGTCTTGGCACGCGGGAACACTGTCCTATCAGAAAGGGTTCTGAATGATTCGGCTGAAGAATGGATGGCCCGATGAATAAATGTCCTTCACTTTAGTAAATGAATTGCAGTCTGACTCCAAAACTGATTCAACTAAATTAAAAAAAGAATCTGACCAAAGGCCTGCACTCATATAACAAGCTATTCTTATTTCTACACTAAAGAAATAAAATAAAGCATGATTAAAACAGAAAGATTAATTTAGATATATTAAGCATCAAACCAGTTCACATTCTACATTTTTTGTTGCTTTCAAATGTGAAAGTTAATGGATAATTGAAGAGCAATAATAAAAACTATAATATATGCTCCGGAAAAAAGCTCTTTGTGCTTTAACTTAAAAAGGTTTTTCCTGCCATATTTACAATGTAATTTGTTGTGCTGCATTGATTTTGTGACACTTGCACTCCCTCCCTGCTGCAGGCAATATTGCTGTTCTCTGTTTCCTCCAAAAAGTCCTCATACATCACCAAACCGGACAGTAAGAGCCCGTAGCCCCGAGACTCCTCCGGCCGGGGGAGAGGCTCCGACAGCCGGCCTCGAATCTGCCCCTGCATGGCATCCCTCCTGTTTTTATTATATTTTTTAGCATTTTTATTTCTATTTCTATTTTACTGATTATTTCTATTTTATTATAATTTTTTGTTCCAATACAATCCATCGTATACTATGCTGCTCAGGTGTGCGTGTCTTTTGCTCACCTTGACCTCCCGTTGAGCCGCGGGCCACCTCAGGCATCGATCAAGGTGTGTCTGACTGCGGAACTTCCCCTCCCTCTGTCAAGTTTGTCAACAGGCCCCATTCAGGTGAACGGAGGGGGGGGGGCGGGGCATTGTTTCCGTCCGGCCACAGGTAAAGGTCAATGTGCCAACCAGAGATCCACAGAGAGAGATTTAGACTTGAGATAGGCTTCGTTTTATATCTGCAAATCTTTGCTACTTTAAATTATGATATGCTGCACGTAAATTGTCTTATTCCTATTGTACTTTTTATTGGAAAAATAAAATAGCTTTTATATAGCTCAATATGTTCTCCTTTTTGAAATGTAGGTCCTCTTTAGGTTCATGTGTGCATCATTTTACACCAAAACAAATTCCTTTATGTATACAAAAAAGCTGATTCTGTGTTTTTCTTAAAATATGTGTATGATGACATCAACAAAATAATACAGGAATATTTGATGGTCGACTAAAAGCATCTGCTTGGATTGTTGAAAAATAATTAATAAAAATGCATTGAAAAAATAAATTAAAAACAAGAACACCCTTAATGCTTTATTTTGCTATTTGGTTCATTTCAATATTTTAAATATTAAGAATCCTAACCTATCAGAGACTTCAGGACCAAACACCACCTGACCAACCACTAGTCCTGTTATCAAACCACACACACACACACACACACACACACACACACACACACACACACACACACACACACACACACACACACACACACACACCACACACACACACACACACACACACAATCTCTCTCTAAAGCTTACCATCATTTGGATTTGGAAAATGGATTACATTGAACATGTGTTAAGGTAAGATTTCATCGTTTCTATAGCCTGGATATTAGTATAATAAAGAGATAAATAGGGAGATTAAATCCTCAAAAAGATCTGGCAGGCAATGCGTAAATATCTCGAGGAATAAACATGTGTCAGCTGTGCAACATTACATCAAATGAGCTTTTTGTGTCCATCTGTTTTCAACCTTGTACCCTAACACACTGCACAAAGGTTATTTCATTTTCTCATCCTCGGGTCCTAACTGTCTACAGCCACAAAGAGAGAATAAAAATGAACATATGAAGGGTTAAAGGCGTCATTATCCGCAGCGACCCTCTGTCAGAGCTCTGAAATATGACCGAGGTGAAAAAGCTATCAGGGCAACGAAGAAGAAGAAGAGAATGTGCTCCTGCTCCTTTGTGCAGTTTGAAAAATATATCTAGATCCATTCCCTGTTATTGTCATGCAAAGTCGTCGTCGTCTCGTCCCCCCCCTCCCCCCCCTGTATGGCAAGTATTAATCCAAAGTTGTTTGATGATAAATCCAAAGGAGTACATGAATGTGACAATAGAGGGCCAACAACCTGCAGAATGTCAGGTACATTTGAAAGAGCAGAGGGTTTAGTTAACCTCATGATGCTGCACTTTATCCATACAATTCCCCTAAATCCGCTCTTTTATTTGTAGAATTAAATAACACAAGATATACTTTATTGATCCCAAATTGGGATCACTAAATGTTTTCGTTACAGCAGCATGCTAAAACAAAACCATTTAAAAAATTAAAAAAGAGTAGAAAATAAACAAACGTAAAATAGAAACATCTCAAAATAGAAAAATCTGACGAATACAAATAATGAAGGGCCAAATGACAGTTTACACAACATATCATTGTTTAATTAGAGGTGAAAAAGGAAAATTACATACAAAATAGCTCGTGAAGTCTGGGCCAATGGGAGCCTTTTATTCACGCTAATAATAAAAGAAGCAGACAGCAGCAATCAGCAGAGGAAACCAAACCGCTGGAACCACTGCAAACTACCTCACACACTAACAGCTGAGACCACACATCTGCACATACAACTGCAGCGAGAGCAGAAACCGTTGAAAACAGATCTCATTCATGCACACTGTGTCATTATGCCACGTGGGGAATATGACCATATCTCCAGCAATGTAGCTGTGTGACATTAGGATATAGAAGTATTGCAAAATGGGTTAAAATGTTCAAACTATTTGGGGGAGAAAGTTGTCCATGACCTCTAACCTTCCTCCACGACCTAGCCTTCACCCTTGGTAGCCATGTTGGGGATAGTGTGTGTGTGTGTGTGTGTGTGTGTGTGTGTGTGTGTGTGTGTTTGTTTGTTTGTTTGTGTATCTAGAGCAGAAGAGGTTGACTAAAAGCTGCATTCACTGAAAAAAATTCTATAATTAAATGTATTATTTCAACAGATTTCAAATGACTGGTTAATTAAAAGGAAAAATATTAGTGTCAAATAAATACTATAGCTTTCAACTAACCGAATACGTGTGAATTATTTTGACATAATACATTTAATCTAAATCAACCAGTTGTTTTCAGTGTACCATAACCAGCCTTAATTATTGTATAACAAACTGAATTATTTCCAAAATGTCTACGGTGCACCGTGACGTCACAAATGGAGGCTTCATGAAAGTACATGTAGGAAAACCCTTGCATAAAACAGACAGATCACACAGCCTCAAAAATATGAATAATGTAAATATAAGTGTCATGGAAAGAGGAGGAAGAGGAGGGGGGGGGCAGCACGTGGTCTTCCTCTTCCTCCCAGCATGGGGAAAGCACCTGCCACGCACACACTAATAGAAACACACACACACACACACACACACACACACACACACACACACACACACACACACACACACACACACACACATTGTATGAGGATCTTCCTCTGTTGTACTCACTCCTCTCACTCTGCGGATCCTTTCTGCGTCTCTCAGCCATTTTCCCTCTTTACAGAGATATTATATTTTCCTCTTCTTTTTTCTTCTTCTGCTTCTTCTTTCCATTTCCAACTCAGCTGTGCTCCGCTCTTTATTTCCGGTTTGTCTCTGCGCAGAGAATCCTTCCTCTTCACGCCTCGGCTCCTCGACTCTCTCTTCCTCCAACGCCACAGGTTTTTGTTTTTTTTACCTCTCCAGGATTCTTCTTGAACAATTCCTGCATATCCACCGACATCCACGTTTGTTGCGCGCGCACACGCGCACTCGGTAAACGCGACTGTATCTGGAACGCATCGCTCAGAATATTTTTTTTTTAAAAACTATAAATAAGACGGTGTAGTTAGAATTTAAAGGTGATATTCCATCAGAAACAAAGCGGCACGTCGCGCGTAATGACCCGACCAAATTGGCGTTAAAAGTAAACGGAACCCCCCCCCCCTTACCGTGAAAGTTTCCCGGTGTTACAGCGAGCGGTTTGGGGCTGAGGGAGACCGAGCAGGGCTGCTGTGGAGACTGTGGGCTCTTTAAGGCATTAAGTGTTGTGATGGGTTGTGTGCGTGTGCGTGCGTGTGTGTGGTGTGTGTGTGTGTGTGTGTGTGTGTGTGTGTGTGTGAGTGTGTGTGTGTGTGTGTGTGTGTGTGTGTGTGTGTGTGTGTGTGTGTGTGTGTGTGTGTGTGTGGTGTGTGTGTGTGTGTGTGTGTGTGTGTGTGTGTGTGTGTGCAAGGACTCAAGTTTTCAAATTAATCTGCCAGTTTGGCACACTCTTTGTTTAACGGACGAGGCGTGTCACTCCGCGTCCCCGGTACACATTTTAATATTGCTGAGACGCGCTGACCTCCCATTCACCCCAAGCAGAACCAAACCTCCCCCCCTCTCTACCTCCCTTCCTCACCCCCCCTCCCCTCTTTCCACACCCTTTCTTTAAGCCATTTCCACCTCTCTCTCACTCCCTTCTGTCACTCTGTTCCCTCTCTCTCCCTCTCCGTCATACTACATTGAGTTGGAGTCATTACTTTGAAGAAAAATGGTCAGTAGATGTGAAAAGAGGAGGGGAGGAGGGGGGGTTCTTTCTCTCTCCAGATTTTTCTTTTCTCCCAGGATCATTTCTCCTTTTTCCCTTTTGTTGTATAAATATAAATGACACCGCCGCCGTGCACGCTGACTCGTGAACCCGCAGCATCACTCCCGAGTTAAACAGGAATATTTGGCAGGAATCATGTGTTGCGTTATTGTATAAAACCCTCCGCGTGGAGCACTTATTCGGCTTTGAGAGGCTGGAGATCAGACAGGGAGCGATCAGGTGGATTTATTTTCATGTGATTCGACTCTGTGCGGAGGGATTTGTATCGAGTTCACTGCACGTATCCCTCCTCATTTCACTACTATTATTTTCCTGTTATTTCCACATTTCATCACTGATTCAGAAACTGATGTGTTATTATTTTCCATTTAGTTTTCCATTATATATTTTTGTGAATAATATCCTAAAGGTATCATATAAGCTACACATAGAAAACAGCAATGGAAAGTATTTACTGTATACAGTTTTAAAATACTTTATCGAGTACTTTTTCTGCTATTTTATACTAGGCTACTCCACCACAATTTGGAGGCATATATTGTATCTTCAATACTTTTATCTAACAATATCAGATATTTTGCAGGTTATTTTTCTTATTCATATTAAAGTATGGTTTACCAGCTGCAACATTTCAATCATGTTCATTACAATGAATAGCTAATTATAACCAATGCGTGATTTAGATTATTCCATAATGGTCATTCTGCCTAATGAGTATACTTTTAGATAAAGTATACTTTGCTCTTAATACTTTTGTACATTCACGTAAAATGTTGAGTATTTCTCCATTTTGGTATTTATACTTTTATATATTATATGAGTTCTTCTTCCACCACTGATAGGAAAGGAGACAGATAAATGCGTTGCGTTTTAAGGTTAGGTTATTAAATCCCATGGCCAGTGAAAACCCGTTCCTAGATCGAGTTAATTTGCTGAACTCAGGATGAACTGCAGACGGATTCTGTAATGCAGTTATTCACCCATTACCTTTCTGCTGTGTGTTTACGTCAATAAACGGATTATTTATTTACTTAATTATCATTTTGCTCCTCTGCTGCGACTCATTTCCACTCCGCTCTCCCCCCCTCTCTCATTTAACCATAAAGCATCGCTCCAACAATATGTGTCCAATTCAACAGCAGCTGAGATTAAACGATTGGGAGTTTTTGTAGTTGGAGGACAAGTTTGTAAAATAAATAAATAAGGGGATTTGGACATTGGATTGAAGTTATTATTATTATTTGATGTTTTTTTAGCAATATTGTAATTATGATCTATTCCATTATTGAAAATAAAAATGATACAAAAATGAACAAAGGGACATAATGACAATGGGAGAAGAAGAATGTTAGATCATCATTCTCAGTTAGAAAAGTCAACAGGAGCAGACATTAATCATGCAGTGGAAAAATCAGATAAGGAAAGTAATATTTTGTGGATGGTTTGTGAGATAAGAGTGTCTTTTTGACAGGGTTCAGCTGATAAGGCTGAGGAGAGGAAGAGCTCTGCTTTGCTTTACTCTCTGAAATTGTTTGGCGAAATATAAATAGATGCTAGCACCATAAACACACACACTCACACTCACACACACACTCACACACACACACACACACACACACACACACACACACACACACACACACACTCACACACACACACACACACACACACACACACACACCACACTCACACACACACACACACACACACACACTCACACACACACACACACACACACACACGCACGCACGCACACACACACACACACACACACACACACACACACACACACACACACACACACACACAGTGTTTTTACAACATTGTTTTGTCATTTGATATTTTGGTCTAGATGAAAAACTTGATAGAGGCTGGTTGCACATGTTTGGTTTTGCTCATTTAAAAACAAATAAAAAAAAGTAAATTGTATTGTATCAACTAGTGTTTCTTCTTATTTTTGTTCTTTATCATTACTATGATTATATATAATGTTCTATGTGCTGGACACATGTTACGTGGAAATTATTATTTTTATTATTATTTTATTTTATTTGTTGTAGCATCTGAGAAAAGGGCTTCACTGTGGGGATAAAAAATATACTATTTGAAATCAACCACCTACATTAGTATATGGCTAGTTTAATTGAATATTTATGGTGATATTTGTTTCTACCTTGCGGCCTTTATGCATTACATGTCATTTGTCATTTGATGCTTTATGCTTCAGTTATCTGTTTCCTTCAGCTCAGTGAAGCCAAATATCCCACTGTACAGTCAGAGCAGAAAGTGACTCCATGAAACACAAATGTTAGCCGGTGTGAACCACATGTGTAGCCAAACACCTGCACCCCCCAGCCATCCACCCACCTCCATGTCACCGAATACCTTCCGCTCTCCCACCACCACCTTCCACCCCTCCATTTTTCCTGTCTTTCTTCTCCCTTCATCTCTCTCTGTACATTGCGCCGGTGGGGGGGGGGGGGGGGAGCTTTGCTTTTGTTACCGGGGAAGGGAAGGGAAGGTCAGGCCTTCACCTCTCCTTTGCCTCCTGCTATCATTTCTCTCATCTCTACCCACTCGCTCCTCTCTCTCCCTCCCTTTTTTGCCTTTGACATACAGCAATTGGCCTGGAGTGAGTGAGGAGAGGCGAGGGCGGAACTCACGCACGATGGTGAACTTTTGATCCTTCAACTTGGTGAACCCGTACTGGAGGCTGACTATCAGCTCTGACTTCCAGCCAGGCTGTTCCCTTGCCCTCAGGCAGAAGGACATGAGCAGGAGAGGACACTGTCAGTGTATTCTATATCTGGATGTTTGCCAGGGTTGTGTTTTACACTAAGCCTGTTGCTGTTCAGCTGGATTAGGAATCAGCGTTTTGCAAAATGTGTGGACATTGGCGTTTTATGGCACTGTTGGCACTCCTGTTTAGCGCCTAAAAGAGCAGGAATTAATTGCCTCCAAGGTGGCATTTGTTACCTCTCTCTCTGTAGAGAGTAGGCTACCTACAGCTCCAGATATACTCGAACCTCTCTCCATTAATCAGCTGGAAACACGGTGACAGTTGTGACAGTTGTGTATTTTAACAGCGAGACAGGGGCGGGGGTGCTGCAGGTTATCGTCAGTTAGGATTCTAAAGGACGGGGGCGCGTGCTGGGAGGGAGGTCGGAACAGAGAGGGGCTCGCGGGGGCTCTCGAGCTCTCTGCCCTGGTCTAAAGCGGGCTCTGGTGGCGGCGCGAGAGAGCTGCATTCTGTGGGAGAATATATGTGGCGCACAGTGAAACCATCAGAATCAGAATCAGGGTTATTGCCAAGGAGGTTTGAAAAAAACAAGAATTGCTTTGATGTATAATGCTCCATACAATAACACAGAGGAATTAGGTTATATAACCTTTTAAACTATTTCAAATGGAAGGGCGATTAAAGAAAAGTGGGCTTCTGTTCATCCATTATGGTGTAGTAAAGCAGGAGAGTTATGAAATATTATTATTATAATTAATGTTTATATTATGATGTATCTATTTATTCAGTAGCAGTATAGGTGTCATGTAGGGACAACATGTCCCACTTTTTTTAAATGGCTGATTTTGTCCAAATCACTTTAAAAAATCCTTATCTTTCAAAAAGAAATTATGAAAAAACAGCCTGCACAAAGAAATGTTGACTAACAAATGAGTACGATTTATATGCACAGTAAGAAAAACACAATTGCAACGTTAGAAGACACAAACGTGCACTGTCCAAAAATGTCACATAGGCCTCATGTTGTCATCAACGCCACTGAGTAGTAGTAGTAGTAGTAGTAGTAGTAGTAGTAGTAGTAGTAGTAGTAGTAGTAGTAGTAGTAGTAGTAGTAGTAGTAGTAGTATTAGCAGTATAGGCATAGTTATAGTAGTAGTAGTAGAGTAGCAGTAGTAGTATTATAGTAGCCTATTAGTATTAGTTGTATTTTCACCGATCAAATGTAACCCAATAGATAATTGATAAGTTACACATTGTTGTTTAAAAGTCAATATATTTAGTTGTTTCTTTTGCATTAATTATATCCTTCATTCGACATATTGTTTTGTCTTTAAGTCTAAATCCACCATACCGCCCGAGTAGCAATAGTACATATAAACACATTTAAAGATGTTTTCAGAGGGTTTCTGTAGACCATTTAAAGCCCCCTGAGACAAATGTCTATTCAGTGATATTGGACAAAATAAATAAATTGGTTGATTGATTGGTTGGTTTTAATCCAATTTTAACATCCCTATAGTCTATTTGTCAGCGTAACTGAGGCGTGCATTGAACGCGGCATAACCTGAACAAATAAACACAACGCCCCCCCCCATGACCTGTATCTTTAAATAT